TTAGGTGCACTATAACTCACCTTTGAGGAGCCCTCCGGTCACATCGTGCTGTAACGGAATGGCCCTGTGTGCCGCTCACTGCCACCCTCTCGCACAGAGGAGGAGCGTCTCAGGTAGAGAGGGGGAGGAACCTTGGACTGGGGGGCTGAACCTGTAAAAAGGCAACGTTTTTGCTAACCTGGCTGACAGGAGGTTCCGTGGTCCTTCAGTCTCTCATGCAGGAATTAAAAACCTCACCATTTTCTCTGTCGAGAAACACCTTTTCACTGAGGATGAGAAAACAGACAAGATTTTCCAAGACAACCCAATGACCTAGAACCTCTGTCATGCTTATGTGGATGCTGACCTCCACCAACTTCTCATGAGATTTCCTTTCAGCAAGCCGCAGGTCCTTGCCACTGGTGACAGGCAGTGCAGGTGAGGCTAACCCACCTCGAGATATTTTGGAAGGGCGAGGTTGTGCTTTCCTTCCTCTTTTTCCCCAAACCAGTCTATTTGATCATTGATAATGTATGTAGAGACAGTGACCGGCCAAGTGTGGTCTCCTCCTATAGCTTTGGCCCTCGGACGGCTTCCCTGCCTTGCTTTCTCTGGGGCTAAAAGCCTGAACAACTAGGAAGAGTCCCATCTCCTGGTGTTTGGGGTCGAACCTCAATGAGTGGTGACTGGGTGAGGCCATGGGTACCTTTGAAAGAAGACAACACCCACTTCCTGGAATACCTAGGGGTGGTGCTGTGGCAGACCAGATCCTTCTCACTCCAGACAGGAGATCCAGACTTGGAGGATCAACTGAGTCCAGCGCAAGAGGTCCTGCCTTCAGCTGTCGCCGAGCTTTCAAGCACCGTGGTTTCAAATATGGCCTGCCTAGTGAGGCCCTCAGTTTATCTGCCTGTACACAAAAGCAGGAAGCAGCAGCTGCTCCTATTCTTGCTAACTCTTAATATTGTTGTTACCTAAAATCATAAATTACAAATGCCTGTTAAATTAGAAGAACACCACCACAAACGACTGGCGGTTAAAGACAGATGGGGCACTGGCTTCTCCCTCTGAAAGCGGGTACAAATTGGTGTGTTCTGACCAGAGCCTGGAAGACAACGGAAGGGGCTTCTGTAATTGGGATGGAGGATGGCATCTGACCTCATTACCCCCTTGCCCTGGTTTGGGGGGGGGAAAACAGCCTCTCCTGCCAGGAGGGAGACCTCCTCCCATGGACGAACAACAGGAGGTTTTGAATGTGGGTGTGAGGGGGGCTCAGGGGCTACCCTGCAAAGGCAGGATCCAGCCCCCGTCCCCCCCCCCCATTAGCGTCTTTGACCTTGTGGCCCATCCCTGCCTGCAAGAATAGGCTCTTTGTCCTCCAGGCCAGCCCATACTGAGGAGTGGCTCAGCTGGGCCTCTGGTCCTGTGGTTCCCCAAATAGCAAGATAGGAAACAGCCCTCTCTGGCTTGGGAGTTTGGGATGAGCGGTGGATTGGGGGAAGGGCTGGCGAGGAGGAGGAGGAGGAGGAGGAGACACTCGACTCAGTACGTGCAGACCCTTCTGAACACTTGATGGGAAGTCACTGGGGATGGGATTCATGTTGATGGGAGGGGAGAGCATATCTCACGCCCATGTTGTGTAGTGAATTATTATTATTATTGTTGTTGTCAATCAAAATTATAAAAGCATTGACTGGTTCTATATAACAGACACAAGTTTTAACCAGAAACCTAAGGATCTGTTAAATATCGGTGCAGTATGTATGCTGTTCCTAATGCTTTTTTTGTAGGTCTGATAGTATCATTTCTGAAACTGCTTATAATACTGCGTGAAATTTCTTTATATTGTTCCCAAAGCCCTGATGACGATAGGGATCACTGAAGTGGTATTCATCCACAAGCAAGATATTTATTCTCATGTTGATGATGATTGAGATTCTACTTCCCCAAATGGTAGCCAATTCAAGAGGGTGAGGGTGGTTATTCAGGCCCTTTCTGGAAGTTGTCTAAAACTCCCTAGGGTTGAGTGACCCTAAGAAACTAAACCAATGGAAACAATACAATTTTATGCAACCCCCGTTTGAGCCATTTTGTTTTGTAAACAAAGAGCTAGTGCGGGCAGGAGGGCACTCGCGCGACCTCTATCCACATGTGCCTTCTAGAAGCCCCGGCCAAGCTCGTTTGGAAGGACGGGAGTTGCAGTGACAAGCAACTGTGGGGCAGAAGGCTTGCTCTGAGGATGTCCACACATCCTTTCTGGACACATTGATGCTCTCGTCGTATGTTTTTTGAATCATGTGAGGTTGTTGCGCTTGGGTTCCCAGTGATGAGATTAACAAGCGAGGCAGCTATAAGCGTCTGTCCCAATTTGCACAGAACTTGCTGAGCTGAGTTGAATCGTCCGGTGAGGGTTGGTTTGTGAGGATTTATGTGCACAGGCAGCATCCCAATTTCAGTAAAGCTGGTTTCTTTTTCCATGTTGAAAATGTCTGGGAGGGTCCTTTTTTGCCTTGCTGAAGCAAAATACATGGGAAACGTTCCTATATCTTACATTGGCTTATCTTGTGCCTTCATGTTTATGGCCATTTAAGAGGCTGCAGTCTTGAGAAAATTTGAATTTTTAGGGTGTTGAGTTGAACGGCGCACTCATGCTGTATATCCTTGACATCAAACAAACTCATACATTTTGGGCCCTTCCAAATGTAACTCGGTGTATTACAAGTCACGAACCATAGCTTTTGTTCATTTCGGGATTGTCGAAGGGTGTGTAAAACTACTTTGGACAGGATGTACTTGTGGGAAGAAACTCCAAACCAGTTTGCAAAACAGCATTGGTGAACAGTGTTGTGTACAAGTGTCAGTTTTGGAAATAATTACAGGGTAGTCTTGGGCCCTGCTTGGCAGGCAGTCATTAACATTTCAGAAGTGGACTGGGGTGTTTCGAAAAGCAGTTAAGAATTAGGTTCATCATTGAAAACAGTTGATCAGAATACGTTCTTGCTATGTTTTCCTTGACATGTGCAGGTTTACTAAAGTGAAAGGTAGCATCAGGCCCGAAACGAGGTCCTCTTTTTGGCCACTTCCCCCAACCCTGTCACCTAGCCTCCCTAGCCAGCATGCCCAGTGCCCTTGATAGCTGGGGCTTATGAGATCTCTACTTCAGCAGACGTGAGCAGGTGACAGCTTGAGGAACGTGGCTTTCCTCTCTGCACAGTGCAGATTTTCAGATTCCACGCCCCACCCTGTGTCTTCTCCTGCCCTCGTAAGAATTTAGCAGGGCAGGTACTTGTTTTTAAAGCCAAGTCAAGTGAAAGGGAAAACTACCCGTAGGTCAAGTGCTCCGTAATTAATGACAAAAGGTAGCGAGAAAATGTGCTGCATTTAGTAAGTTGAGATTGACCACAGTGCTCCAGCCCCAATTAGATTTGGTTTTTGCTCATCAGAGTAGTGAAGAACCTTTGAGGGTGAAATTGTTGGGAAGCTGCTTAAAATTATGTCACAAAATGAAACTTGTGAAATCTATCTGAGGGTCTAAGCTAGGCCTTTGGTCCAATCTGCCAGGGCTGCTCTAGTGTTAGGGAGAGGTGATCTCAAAAATTGCATATTTTATTTTGTTTATTAATTGCACTTCGGCTCCACCTTTTCACTGCATAGCAGCGTTATAAGTAGCTTACAAACATAAGAATTTTTTAAATTAAAAAAATCAACTGTAAAACCATTAAGATCAGCTTAGTTGGTAAACATGATATTTAAATTTGTCACAGTAAATATTAATCATTTCTAATTGTTTAATATTTACTGAGAGAACAGCAATTTTCAGCTCTCTTTCCTTCCTTTCATTCTGTATCTGCCGTAGACTTACCTGGGATATGTACTAAATAAAATAAAAGGATCCCCTTAGTGAAGAATTACTCCCAAATTGTTTGTTCTCATTGAGACGGAGTGTCAACTTGTGGGCCTCTGGCTGAAAGAAAGGCTTGGGCTTTCCAGGGGAACCAGCACAAATGCTGTGTAGGAAGAGGACCCCTTAGAAGTGACGGGAGGCATACTTTATGCAGGGGCTTTCTTTTAATTCTGCACCTCTTCTCTCTGTAGAGCGATGGGGAGGAAAAAGAAATGTACGTGAAAGTACAGAAGGAGGGGGTTGCAGTTCAGCAACTGAGCGTAGGCTTCCCACGCTGGAAGTCTCAGGATCCCTCTCAGCAGCATCTCCAGCTCAGGATTTGGCGGGGGTGGGAACCACTGTGCCCAAAACCTTGGAGAGCTTTTGCTGGCCCTCCTTGGGATAAATGGATCAAAAGCCCAGCTCTATGCCAGGCATCTTCTTCCAACAGTGTTGTGCGTTCTTTCCTCTGTTGAAATGGATTCTGACTCTGACTCGATTCTTATCAAGGGATGCGGATCTGCATTTGGTGGAAGGTTCAGAGGAACTGGAGGCCTCGGCATTCTGTCAGATTTGACTGCAGTATCTCTTCTGTTCCAGCTTCATTGCTATAGAAACCGGGAGTTGCTCCCTTCTCCAGTGTGATGTTGGGGATGCCATTGGAAGGCTGGTGGTCTGGCATGACTCTACAAGGGGAATTGCATAACCAAGCCTACCTGCTCTTAGGAGGTATCATTTTATCGTGCCGGTGCCGAACATGGCGGGAGACAGCCGTCTGATGGAAGCTGAACCCACCATCCTCTCTTTCATGGTTTCAGGAGGTCTGTCTGCTTTGCCCAGCCTGGTCTGTACTCCCATAGCTCAGCTCTTTCCCCTCTCCCTAGGGTCAAAGTCTTTTCCACCTCAATATCAGGCATCTTCTTTCTAGGATAGAAACAGGCTCCAAAATCCTTAGGTGGACAGAAGCTTTGTAGGGACCAACTGTAAATGCACAGGATTGTGTAGGCTAGCTGGTAAATGGGGGAACAGAGTCCGGCCGAGGCGGGAACGATGGGTCTTGACCCTGTCGGCTGTCACTGGCCTTGTGCCTTTCCTTTGGGCGTAACACACTCTCTCTTTGTCTTTCCCACTGCTGCAGTGATCCATGCGGACCAGGCTCCGTTCTCGCAGATGAGCCTAGAGCCAAGGTGGCCCTTCGAACCCAGATAGTCGGTCGGCGCACTGCCCAAGCAGGATGCCATCCACGAGCCGAGCGGGCAGCCTGAAGGATCCAGAAATTGCTGAGCTCTTTTTCAAAGAGGACCCAGAGAAGCTCTTCACGGACCTCCGAGAGATCGGCCATGGGAGCTTCGGAGCTGTTTACTTTGTAAGGGGGCAGGGCTGAAGGGGAGGGGGAGATGCTCTTGAGGTCAGTCAAGGGCCTTTTGTCCACCTGAAGGGACCGCTTTGTCCCTCAGACCCCAATAGGAAGGCAGAGCAGTTACTTCCTCCCTTCCTGCCAAGGTGTCTGGATCAAGGGTCCACTGGGTTGAGCCTCCTCCCTCGAAGTGGCAGGTGGAAACAGGAGGTGGAACTGTTTGTGTCCAGTGTACTGATGGTGCGAAGCCTAATGATCCTCAGATGTTGGCACCTTACGTCCCGCCAGTCACTCGGTCAGAAGAACCTGAGCCCCACCATGATAGAATCTAAAAGTCCTCTGTTTTTCCAGAAATTCATTTATGTTTTTAGAAATATTCTTCTTCTTCCTTTCTTTTTTTTTTAATTGGTAATTTACAACAAATTTGGGGTGGTGGTGGTGGTGGTCATGGAAAGAAGGGATTAGAAGAAACACAGAGCGTCCAGAATTCCTGTTGGCACGCAAAAAACATTACACTGCAGGTAGGATTGGCGGACGGAGGTAGGAGGACTTGAGGGTGGAGAGGCAATGGATTCTGAGTGGTTGCTATGGCAACCCTGTACCACTGGTTAAGAACCACTGTTTTTTGCCCAGAACCTCCAGAAGGCCTCCCCCCGGCAGCCTCAGGTGGATGTTGGGAAGTAAAAGGATGTGTTGCCTCCTTTGTGGTGAAGGACGAAAGCCAGAATATCCCAGGGTGGTTGAGCTCAAGGAGGCCCCGAGGGCCCTCTCTGGCCCAGCCTGACCCAGGCAGCCGGAAATCATCGCCAGCGCCTCCCAGGCAGGTGACTGCCTGGGCTCTGCTTGAAAGTCCCCAGGGAAGGAGGGAGGGAGGGTCCAGCCCTTTCTGAGGCAAGCCGTGTTCCTCCGAGGTCAACCGGCTCTTCCCATAAAGACGCCCTTTCTCCGTTTAGTCAGATTCTCTCTTTGTATAACTTCAATCCTTTCCTTTGGGTCCTGCCCTCTGGAGCCACAGGAAACAAGCTTCCTTTCTCTTCCCTGTGCGAGGAGTTGAAGGTTGCCTCCCTACCAGCCCCTCAGTCTGCGCTTCTCTAGGCCAGACCTCCTGCCCGCCTGCCTGCCTGCCTGCCTGCTCCCTCCGTCGTTTCTTCCTGGACTGAGTTGCCAGGCCCTTAGCCGTTGCGGCTGCCTTCCTGGTGATCCGTGTAAAACAAGGCTTCCTGGGGAGAGAGAGGGCAAAGGGCTTTTCTCTCTCCTGCTGGTTGCCCCTGACATGGGGTTTGGTCACGGGGGCTCTTGGTACTTGGCTCCAGTGTCCTCGTCAGGAACGAGGAGAATCTGCCGGAAACAATAGCAGGCTCGACAACAGCAAGTTATTGTGTTGAAAACGCAGAGGCTCACAAAGACTTTGCATACTGGCCTCTATTGTCTGCCTGTGTGGCACAGCTGGGGGCTGGTGAGTGTGCATCCCTTCTTGCAAGCGACTTGCACCTGCCAAAGATGAGAGTGCAGGGGTTTGCATTCGGGGGGGGGGAGAACCTGAGCTTTTGACTCTTCCCTGGGCAGGGGAGCAGTTCAGAGGTGATGACACTACGTTCCCTTTGTCTTCTAAATGTTTACTTTCCTACTCATTGGGACTCTCCTCCGAGGTCTGGGGCGTGGAGGAGGAACTGTTAGATCCCTTTCCTTGAAATGAGAGAGAACGGGCCCCCCGAAACGGTCTCTGTGAAGGAGCAGGGCTGGGGAGGCCCTTTCCAGGTGGCGAAGGGTTTCAAAAGGTGGACTCAGTTTGGACCCAGAGGTGGTGGTGGTGGTGGGGGACATGGCTGGGTTTTGCTCACCCCTCCTAGAAACTCTGAAGCCAGCAAGACCAGCGGCCACACTCTCTGCGGGAACTCTGAGAACTGTATGCCAAAGCCGTAGTATTGGGGCAGAAACAGCCCTTCCAAACTAGATTCGGGTCTCACTGTTGGGTGGCAGAAGGTGCCAGTGGAGGTGGGTGCTTTCCTTTTCAGCAGGCTGTATCCGTGTTGCAGGTATTACGGGAGAGGGGGAGGGACCCAAGGAGGAGTCAGACACATTCAGATTTTGATGGGAGGGCTCTTTGGTGCCCGATTCAAGTTCTTGCTGGCCTAGTTTTCTTCTCCTGCCAAGGTAGAAACCCGGCCTCTGCCTGCCTGCCTGCCTTTCTTCCCTTCTGGTTCTCTGTCTCCTTATAGACGTGGTCTTGTTGAGCAATGGCCTCGTGCGAGTGCTGTCTGTAAGGCTGCGTGAAACCCTTCCCATCGTGCAGTGCTGGGTGCCCAGCCCCTTCCCTCTGGCTTCCCTTTTGATGCCTGGCCAGCCAAGCAAGGCTCACCTCCTCGGCTCCAGCAATGTGTCCTCCGTGGCATTGGCCGAGCCTGCGGGGGCTCCGATGACTTGCAAGGAACCTTCCTCACCCCATTTGGGAGGAAGGAGAGCCCTTTGATCAACACCCCTATGCTCCAGAGAGGGCTTCCCCCCCCCCGCAGCTGTATGTCCGACCTGGATTCCAGCCCATATTCTTTTTTGGAAATAGCTCCCAGAAGATGGGAATTTCTGGGATATGTAGTCCAGAAGAAGTTATTTCCCAAGCTCCATGCGAGAGTGAGTGGCGTAGACCAGCAAAGCCAACTGGCCAGAGTAATTTGTGCCCATTCCTCCTTGCGTCCTTTAAAATGTAATCTGTCATTGTGACTCTTTGTGGTATTTTGAAAAGCGCCATAATTCCTTTGCTTTGTTGTGTGACTTGTTTCTTTTACTTAAGAAGATTCATTCTTGCTAGGAAAAGGAAGGCATAACTTCTTTGCTCCCTGTGTGTTTGTTTTTTGTCTCGCAGGCGCGCGACGTGCGCACCAATGAAGTGGTGGCCATCAAGAAAATGTCTTATAGTGGGAAGCAGTCTAACGAGGTAGGTGGCCCACTCTCTCACCTGTAATCTGTGTGAGCCCTTGCTGGAGAAACATCTAAGGTGCCACGAGGTGTTTGAGGGTTTTGGGCAAGAGGGAAAAAAGACTTTTATCAAGGATCGTTGGTTTGCTGACCTGCGGGCGGTGGGGGAGAAGTTCTGCAATAGAACTTTGAGTTTAAAAGATGAGTTCAGTCCTTGGGACCAGGAGAGCTTGCCTTTAAATCGAAAACCGATAAAATCTTGGCCATCTTCTCCGCTTGGAGGCATTATACTTTTTACGAAGACAGCGCTTGCCCACTTGAATGGTGGCCCCACCAAGGGCGCCAGAAAGAGAGATCCCAGGAGAGGTGTAGGAGGTTCTGTGTTATAGGCTGAGGCCAGATTCACTGCTTTGAAGACAAAGAGGGAAAGGCCTGCGATGGAGGGTGAGGGTAAAACAAACTTAGTGCCCTGGCATTCAGACTTAAATGCAAGCTAGCTTTCCTCTTCAGCTTTCAGCATTCCTTTCTAAACCCTTTTTTCTAAAACACACACACACACACACACACCACCTCGCCACTGCCTAACCAAAGAAAGCTTACCAGGAATGACAGACACGAGCCTGGCAAGGATGTCGGATCAGACAAAAGGCTGGCTTGCAAAATTTAATAAAAGGCAGATCAAGCATGGCCCCCTTTTTCAACCCCCCCTCCTCCCCCCCCTCCCCTTGAACAAAATCATACTGGGGACCTTCACAAGGATACAGGGAAACAGTAGCGGTGTGTGAGCGTGGGAACATTCCAGGGGCCTGGCAGATTAAGGTCGGCTTTGAACACCACCAGCAAGAGCGAGGCACGGAGGTTAGGAATGTCATGCCTTCTCCTGGCAACCCCAGATCCACCCAGACTCTAGAGAGCTAACCGAAGGCTCTTACTTCTGGGACGGACAGGGTGTTTCCAGAATCGCTCTGCTCTTTTGATGCAGAGCAAGTGCAGAACATGGCTTCCTTCCTTCCCTCCTTCCCATTCCAAAGTTCTCTACATGAAAAGTCCAGTGGGTCTTATTCAATGGTGTAGGAGGAACATGGAAAGCTGCCTTAAACTGAATCAGCTGTTTGGCATCCATCTACCCCAGTGTTGTCAACTCTGACCAGCAGCCTTTTTTCAGGGTTTTGAGCAGGATTCTCTCCTAGATCTACTTGAGGATCCCTGAGATTCTTTGAGGGTCCCCCATCCAGATACTGAACAAGCCCAGTGCTATTTAGCTTCGAAAACCAGACAATATCCGTGTCAACATAAGTGTAAAGGTGGAGTCGTGACTCAAAGAGGCAAAGAACACATATCAAAGATCAGTTACTGCTGCTAGAACATTTCCTCTTCCTCAAAGGATGAGACATATTGTCAGGATGGAAAAAGAAAGGGTGGAAAGCTAGACATCAGTTTGCTTTGAGAGGCTTAAGGAGGGCAGCAGGCCAGGCAGACGGGGGCCCCCTGCAGCCACTTTGTGGCCTTGTGCCTCTAACTTATGGTTCACTCAACAATGGGAGATTGTTCTGAGGTTTAGCGAGAGCTGGAGAAACAAGAAGAGGTGTTTGTAAGACTGTGTCAGCCAGTGTGTTTTATATATTCGAGGTGGGTGGGTGGGGTTAGTTCAAAGCTGTTGTGTCAGTGGCAGGGAGTCCAAATCTTGTCGGTGGAACACTGGCGAAGCCCTTTCCAAGAAGATTTGGTCGGCCACAAGGCCTGGGTAGCTGCGAACAGGTCTCGCTTCTCCGCAGCCCCTCATTAAACCTCCGATCTTGTTCTCTCGCGTCGGCCTTTAGTCTTCCCGCTCAAGTTTTATTCTGTTGTCAGAGCCCAATGTTATCTTGCTTAACCGTTGGGTGAGGAAGGTCTAATTTCTACCTGCTCCTCATCTTGCTGATTTAATTACTGTTGAGTTATAAATACTTCGTCCCTACGAAGGAAGCACATGGTGCCCACATCTGAAAGAGGGTGTGGTTCTCTCCAGTGGCATGCGTGTGTGTGTGTGTCTGTGTGTTTTAGAAAAATACAGTGAGAAACTCTGCATTCCTGTTCCATTACCAAGAAAGGAGGCAGCTCATGTTGCAGTGATGATTAATCATTCCATCTGCATCACCCAGCGTGCAGAACGACGCCTCCTCCTTATTTGTTTGTTCTGTGGCCCTGCCGAAGAGGCCGGTGGCTGGAAGGGGCCTGAGCAGCTCCTCTCCCTTCTGTTCCTGTTACCCTAACCCCTCCAGGCCAAGGGGCCGCACATCCCTTCCGCCGCCGACCCCTCCTCCAAAAAAAAATTAAATCCCCACCCCACCCCAGAGGAACGTCTGTCAGAAAAGTGACTCTTTTGCTCCTGGAAGCTCACCCAGCGACCCAAACAGTTCAGAAGCGGGAGTGGGAACCTGGACAGAACGGCCAGGACGTGGTGGGCAGGCTTTAGGGTTGCAACGACTCCCTCTATTCTTGAGTTTTGTGTTCACAAGGACCCTCCTTCCCTTTTAAACAGCTTTCTCCCCCCACTCGGATGGCAAACCTCCAGGGAAAACCTGGAGTTTCTGAAGCAGGGACGAATCCTGCCTGGAATGGGTGCTGCTCCTGCTCAGGGTGGATAAGGCTGAGCGAGGTGGCGGGTCTGCTGCGGTGTGACTCAGAGTGAGGCCACTTCCTCTGTTCTTAGTGTTAGAGGCATTCGAGCAGATAACAGAGTAGCCACTCCTTAGCCTTTTGCTTCCGTGTTTGTCTACATGAGGTCACTTGCCCGTCTTCCCTAATTCTTCCCCTTCCTTTGTAAAATTCATCCTTCTTCTTTTTCCCCCCATAGAAATGGCAAGATATTGTTAAAGAAGTCAAGTTCCTACAGAGAATTAAACATCCGAACAGTATAGAATACAAGGGCTGCTATTTGCGGGAACATACAGCATGGGTAAAAACATTCTCTCTCTCTCTCTCTTTCTCTCTCTCTCTCTCTCTCTCTCTCTCTCTGTATGTTTTTGGTGCAAAAGTAAATTGGGAGGGAGATCATGGGGGAAAAAAGCCCATTGATTCCATAATGGACCTGCATTTTCCCAATTCTCATTTTCTAAATTTTGGCATGATATGGAAACAGGGGTCCCTTGTTTCATGTTCTGACCCTGCCATGCCTGGCCTGGTAGCTCCCTGAGATGCAAGTGCATCTGGCCCAAAATGATTGTTCAGTTCCTTTCGTCCCAAGAAGCAAAAACAAAGAAGTGAAAAAGCAAACCCTGAAGTGGCTTTCAAGCCTCCCCTCCCCTCCAGGCTGTAGTCCCTTAGCTTGCTCTCGTGGAAGCAAATCCTGCTGAAGCCGGTGGGATTTGGCTGTACCTTAACCTGCGTAGGAAGGGGCTGCCCCACAGTGAGCCTTCCAGGTGGTTGGCTAAATCCCCCGTGACATCAATAAGGCCAGCAAACTCCCAGCTTTTCCTTGACCTCATCAGCCAAAGAGCTGTGGCTGAAGTTCGCTTTGTCCTAATTGGCCGTGATTCTTGTTCTCACTCCCCTTTCCCCTGCTCAGCACAAGATTCACCGATTCCTCTGGAATTTTAAGCCCCCAACATGTTTGAGAAGGCGTTCTCTTTGCTCCAATTTTTGTCAAGACTGGGAATCAAAGACAAGTTGTCCTTCTTTAGGAATAGCCAAGGAGCCCAATGAGAGCTCCCAGCAAAGGCCCTGCCTAGTTCAGCATCCTATTCCTCCGGGGCCTACCAGGCACTCCACATTTCCCAGCTGCTGAGAAATAAGAAACATGCTGCCTCGCTGGCTGGCTGGCATGTTTAAACATCAAGGCCAGTTGCCACCAATAGCCTTGAATGTCCCCATTTTGGTGCTGGCCAGGTTAAGGTCCATCGCTGCATCTTGCTTTTTTAAAGCAAGATGCACAAAGAGATCTGTGTGGTTTTGTCCTCCTTTTGAAGAATAAGTTCGCGGGGTGTCCCTATTTTAGTTCTTCCTGTCACCATTGCCTTTAAAAAAAAAACTTTCCTTTTCAGCTTGTTATGGAATACTGCTTAGGATCGGCATCGGATCTGTTAGAAGGTATGTGCTCCTCCTGCCCACCCCCGCCCCCCAAATAAGGGCCTTTGACTGGAAAGAAATTCTCAGATACTGTAGTCTGAAAGAGGTAAAGAGAATTCCTTTAGGGAGCAGCCTCCCCACCCCCACCCCCGGCTGCCTCCCTCCAAAGGTTTTGTCATTTGCTCTCTGGGGATGCTTGGCCTGTGCCGGCTGGGGATGATGGGACTGACGTGTCTCCAGCCACCATTCAGTGGGCCGTCTTGTGGCCTTCAGCAGCCGGGAGTTGAGCCCGACTTGGCATCCTGCAACTTCCAATCCTGGCCTTGGTGTGTCCCTGAGATTTTTAGAACGTGGCCACCGTGTCATTTCTGAGTGACCCCAAACACTGTCTACCCAAACCACGTCTCCCCTTTGTGCAGCCTTCCCTGTGCATGCGCGCGCGTGCGCGGGCCCTGCCTGTTCCATTCCTCAGGCTTTCTCTCTTTCCTCTAGTCCATAAAAAGCCGTTACAAGAGGTGGAAATTGCTGCAATCACCCACGGTGCTCTCCAAGGTTTGGCGTACTTGCATTCCCACAACATGATCCACAGGTAAACGTCCCTTTCCGTGCACAAGGGGGTTGATGTCCTGCACCAGAGCACTTGCCTTGGGTTATATATATAGCATTTTGGGTGCAGGAGGCCGTCTGCGAGGGGGTTGAGTTGGAGCAGAAATTGGATTGATTGATTCATTCATTCATTAACGGTAACGAATAAACAGAGCCCGGAGAGGGGAGGCCTCTCCACCGCCAAAGCTGGATGAACTGAACCTGACGCAGGCAGCTCTCGGGTGGGAGAGGTGACCCTCTTGAGGGGGGTTTCCTCCCCAGAGAGGGCCGGGGATCAGAGGCCCCATTGGCTTCTGGGTAGGGCCTTTCAACTTTTCTTCTCACCCCTCAGAGATATCAAGGCAGGAAACATCCTGTTGACAGAGCCCGGCCAGGTGAAGCTGGCGGACTTTGGATCGGCCTCCATAGCGTCGCCGGCCAATTCGTTCGTGGGGACGCCATATTGGTAAGGCGCTGCCTCTGCGCGCAGGAATCACGGAAGAGTGCTTGGCAGATGTTTGGTTGTCTGTCTGCGTTGTCAGCGGATGTCCCTTAATGTGATGAGCAGGGAGACGGAAGAGCAGCCCCACGTGGGTGATTCCAAGCTGGTCCAAGGATCAGAAAGCAGCCGCCCCACGCTGGCCTCCCCCAAACAGCCCCTCCTTGCCCTTTCAGGAGATTTCGGGGTGGGGTGGGACATCCCGTCCCCCTGCGGCACTGTCGACGGTCTCTCCCGTCACCTTGTCGCCGTCTTCGGAGCCCGGCTCCTGGGCATGCGTTCCCCATGTTATCCCACCTCTACCGTCCCTCCGTTCTCCGTGGCTAGTCTGACCTTTGGGAGAAAGAGTTACGGGCGGATCCGCTGAGCATCTTTGCTTTCCTTTCCAGGATGGCCCCAGAAGTGATTTTAGCCATGGATGAAGGGCAGTACGATGGAAAGGTGGACGTGTGGTCTCTTGGAATAACATGTATTGAATTAGGTAAGCTCTGTCTGTCCGTCTGCCACATTCCACTTGTCTTCTCTTTCCGGTCCCGATCCAAACAAGTGATTTTGCATCAGAGGAAATGTGTCTTGTGTGCATGGTTTAGTTAGTGCATGCTTCCTCCCCCCACCCCCAGGCCAATATCCTTTGTCTGCCGGAAGGAAAAAGATTCCTGTAATTTGATTCCTGGAAAATCTGTTCCTCATCTGGAAAGTTGTGCTGAATTATCTTTTTTTTTTAAAAAAGAGCACAACGAGAAGGGGCAAGAGTAAAACATTCCCCTGGACCACCACCCCTAACTCGGACACAACCTTAGGGGCCCTGTAAGTCAGAAGCAGCTTGGCAGCCCAGAACAACAATTAGGATCGGGCAGCTAAAGAGAATGCCTACAGAGCCTCCTCTTGGTTGAGGATCTCTCTGGCGGCTGTTTGACCTCTTGAGTACTTCCAGGGGTTACACTGGAGTGATCTCACCTGGTAGCCTAGCTGCTGATTTACAGAGGCCGCAGGAAAGTTCTGCCGGGATCCTGTGAATGGCAAACCCCCTTCCCCCTTTAAAAAACAAAACAAAACGTTTCCGAGTTTTGGATCTTTTTGGTAAATCGGGTGGCCAGATGGGCCAGGTCAGTTGCCATCATGCTCGCCTGCAGAGGTGAGCATGATGGGTGAAGAGGGCCTCAGCTTCCACCCGGTTAAGCCAGCCCCCTTCTCTTTCTCTGCAGCCGAGAGGAAGCCTCCGTTGTTTAATATGAACGCAATGAGTGCCTTATATCACATCGCGCAGAATGAATCCCCTGCACTCCAGTCCAATGAATGGTGAGTCGGTAGCCGCGTCAGGGGCGGTTTGGATTCCGTCAGGGCAGCTTTTGAATCGGTGGGCTTAGGAGCCCCTTAAAGGAGTGCTTAAAGAATAAGGCTTGGGAATGATTCCTTGGGCGACGCTGCGTTCCAGAGTGAGCTGCCTCCCTCCCTCCCTCCACATCTAATGTCTTGTGAACCAACCCCAAAAATTTAAAATAAAAATACATTTTTCCAGACTGTGACTGCAGCCACCATGTTCAACTAGGGCCTCTGAGAAGGTGTTTATGGCTGTGCGGCCCTGAAATGACTTTTTCTCCCTTGCCTTTTATAGGTCTGACTATTTTCGGAACTTTGTAGATTCTTGTCTCCAGAAAATCCCCCAAGATAGGCCAACGTCAGAGGAACTCCTGAAGGTCAGCTTGAACATGGTTGCCTTTTCCTCCTCCTGCCTTTTCCTCCCCCCTTCACCTCCCTCAGAAACCTCCGTGTTCCTTTCCGTCGTCCACAGAGGTTGTTAGGCCACCTGCCTGTCTCGTGGCTGTTGTCCACCTTGTGTCGCAGTGCTCGTTTTCCATTTCGTCATCCAGCAGGAGGTTTTCTTCTTCAGAAGAAATGTTCCTCCCGAACAAGGGTCCTGCTAATCAGTTTGCAGGGTGAACTAAATCTTGCCACGTTTGTGTGTTGCGGTGCCCAGCGATACCGCCTCCCTGACCTTTGTTCTTTCCTTTCTCTCCTTACCTCTTCATTCTTTCTTTTGGAAAGGGTTCATTCTGTTTGTTTTCCTGAAAAACCTTCACAGTATCCTGCGGCACAGTGCATTTTCCAGTGTGATGTAGAGTTCTGATTTGCAGCAGGTTGACGCTTCTTCCCCCTCAGGCCTTTTAAGAGCATGCCAGCCACAAAGTCTGGATGCCCTGGAGATGGAAAGAAGGCCCATTCCAGTTTTCAAAGGGCAACTCTCTGCCTGCAGGCCTTTCGAGGCCAACAGCTTCCATCGTTCTGCCCACACCTCCTTTCATGCGCTTTCAGTGGCCAAAGCGTTTCCTCGGGTCAGGCCTCATGGAAGGCTTTGCTGAAGCGTTAGGGGTGGTCACCCACCTCCTTCCCACAGAAAGATACGAGGTGGGGGGCCCCCTACTTTGCTTGCAGCTGTGAGAGGCTTGGAGGGGGTTGCCCTGCTTTCTGGAGCCTCCCCCAGGGCCCCAACCCCAACGTTGCCTCATGTCTCCTGCTTTAGCACGTGTTTGTTATCCGGGACCGGCCCGAGACGGTGTTGATAGAGCTGATCCAGAGAACCAAGGATGCGGTCCGAGAACTGGACAATCTTCAGTACCGCAAAATGAAGAAGCTTCTGTTCCAAGAGGCGCACAACGGCCCTGCCGTGGAGGCCCAGGAAGAAGACGAGGTAACAGCCCAGGAGCGGGAGGGGGGCTGCCCCCACTGAAAAGGATCCCTCCATTTGGATCCCTCCCCGACCCAAATGCGGCCCGATCTGCCTAGGGAGCTGACCCTTTTAACATCCGAACAGCCGGCGGTTCCCACGATTAAGCCTTGTGGCCTCCCCTCCTCCCTCCTAGGAGCAAGACCACGGCGTGGGCCGGACGGGAACGGTGAACAGCGTCGGGAGCAGCCAGTCCATCCCGAGTATGTCCATCAGTGCCAGCAGCCAAAGCAGTAGCGTGAACAGTCTTCCGGATGCCTCGGATGACAAGAGTGAGCTGGATATGATGGAAGGGGACCACACGGTGATGTCAAACAGCTCGGTGATCCACCTGAAGCCGGTAATCCAACTGGGGAAGCCCGGGGGAGAGGGGCTGGGTGCAGCGGGTCTCTTGCAAGAGATGGACCTTCTTGGAAACAGAGAAATGCATGTGAAACAACCTTGCTTCTAGTGGGAGGCTCCTCCTTCCTTGCAGTCTCTGTAAACTCAGGTGGCCAGCTGGCGGCGGCGCCACCACCACCACCAACTGGCTTTGGAGGCAAAAAGGCAGAGAGGATTCCTTTCTCTGAAACTTTCTCTTTCCTCTGCTCCCCAGGAGGAAGAAAACTACAGAGAGGATTCCGACCCACGGTCGAGAGCTTCGGAGCCTCAGAGCCCACCTCAAGTGTCTCGCCACAGGTCCCATTACCGTAACCGGGAGCACTTTGCTACCATACGCACAGCGTCCTTGGTGGGTCCCCCTCCCCCCCCTTCTT